GCTACGTTTTCCAGCCCGTGGTCGCCACTCGAGAACTTTCCTGCCCCAACGGCCATCGTCTCTACGAGCTATGTGCCCCGCCCACTGCCACTTGATTTTAGCAATTCTGCGAGCTATGTCGGTTACTTTGGTTCTCCTACGGATCTCCTCATTTCTGATTCGATCACGCAGGGAAACTCCGAGCATAGCCCGCTCCATCGCCCTTTGGGTGACCTTGAGCCTTCTTATGAGGCCCATAGTAAGCGACCACGTTTCGGATCCATATGTCAACACTGGCAACACACACTGCTCGAAGACTTTCGTCTTGAGACACTGCGGTATTTCGGACATGAGTATATGGCGAAGCTTCCCGAACGCTGCCCATCCGAGTTGGATTCGACGATTGACCTCTTTCTCGAAGTTGGACCTACCTAACTGGACTGTTTGTCCCAGGTATACATAATTGTCGACAACTTCGAGTGTAGAGTCTCCAACCTTCAGAGGAGTGGGTGCAACACGGACATTAGACATGATTTTTGTCTTGTCCATGTTCATTCTGAGGCCCACTTGTTGAGAGGCTCTACTGAGGCCATCGAGCATTGTGCCTAGATCCTCCAAGGTCTCAGCCATGACTACGATATCGTCCGCGAATCGAAGGTGGGTGATGTACTCGCCGTTGATATTTATGCCAAATCCGTTCCAGTCCAGAAGCTTGAAGACATCTTCCAGGGCGGTGGTAAACAGTTTTGGAGATATGACGTATGTATGAGGATATTTCCAGAGCCATACATGGCTCCCGGTCCCATTTTACCGTTGTGATGGGGGACTTCAACGCGAAGCTAGGTAAACGAAGCGATAATGAGCCGAAAGTGGGGCAATTTGGGTACGGAGAGAGGAACGCACGTGGCCAACTGCTGGCTGGCTTTATGGAGAGGGAGGGCCTCTTTATGATGAACTCCTTCTTCAGAAAGCCAAAACAGCGAAAGTGGACATGGCTGCATCCCAATGGCGCTACAAAAAATGAGATAGACTTCATCTTGTCGACGAAGAAGCATATATTCAATGATGTCTCTGTGATCAATTCGGTCAAAACAGGAAGCGATCACCGAATGGTAAGAGGCACATTGAATATCAGACCCAAGCTCGAGAGATGTCGACTGATGAAGTCTACGCTCCGCCCAGCGCCCATCCAACTCCAAAACCCCGAAAGCTTTCAGCTCGAGTTGCAAAATCGTTTCGAATGCCTAGGAGACTGCGAAAATGTGGACAAATACAATGACAGGTTCGTGGAAATTGTCCAAACGACTGGGTCTAAGTTCTTTAAAACCCGTCGTTCAAAAGGAACCAAAAAGATCTCTGATCTCACCAATCAACTCATGGAAGAGAGACGGAACTTGGTTCTGCAGTCCTCTGAAGATGCTGCTCAGTATCGGCGCCTTAACAGACAGATCTCCAAGTCTTTGACTCGCGACCTACGCCAATTTAATACAGACCGTATTAAAGAGGCGATTGAGCGAAACAAGGGCTCTAAAGTGTTCGCAAGAGATCTGTCTGTTGGCCAAAGTCAACTGACCAAGCTGAAGACAGAGGATGGCAGAGCCATTTCGTCGGGGCCGGAGATATTGGAAGAGGTCGAGAAGTTCTACGGACAATTATACACGAGTGTACGTGCACCTGTCACAAATCTAGCCGAAGACCCAAGAGCTAGACTGACCCGACACTATACCGAAGATATCCCGGACGTCAGTCTGTACGAGATTAGAATGGCTCTCAAACAGCTGAAGAACAACAAGGCACCGGGTGATGATGGAATCACGGCTGAGCTTTTGAAGGCAGGTGGAACGCCGGTACTGAGGGCTCTTCAGAAGCTGTTCAATTCCGTCATCCTCGAAGGGAAAACGCCTACGACATGGCACAGAAGTGTGGTGGTACTCTTCCTCTACACTTAAATTTGCTCTACACTTAAATAAATTGAATTTGGTAACAGGAAAACCATGTTTTATTCTTCTAAGAACTGTGGCGTAGTGACTGACTGGCATCGCATGTGCTAGGAAGATTGGAATTCAGCAATAGCAGCATGCTTCTTTAAGCATCGACGATTTTGCGACTAATTTATTTTATCGATGCTGAATTACGTTTTGGAGGTTTTCTGCGTTCGATCGATACAGCATCGCGATTTCGCGAATTATTCGGTATCGGAATCCTGTATTTTAACGAGTTAATTACAAGCATGCTTCATTAGCATCGGTGATCTGAGATTTCGCGTGCAGTCGCATGCCGATGATAAAAATAGCATTTGTCGACTGTGGCCCTTTTAGAGAGTACATTTTATCAACCGACTTCAAAAAAGGAGGAGGTTCTCAATTCGACCCGTATGTTTTTTTTTTATGTTTGTTACGCGATAACTCCGCCAATTATGAACCGATTTGAACAAATTTTTTTTCGGCGTATAGGTAATACCTCAAGGGTGGTCCCATTTAAATTTAATAATAGAAAAAACAACTCCCAAGGGTGGAAAATTGGGGATGAACTTTTTTATACGCAATATCTCCGCTGATTATAAATAAATTTGAACGATTATTTTTTTGTTGAATAGGTATTATCAAAAGGGTGGTTTCATGCGAATTTGAAGAAAATATTTCACCCCCAAGGGTGGAAAATTGGAGATGAACTTTTTTATACGCAATATTTTTAATTTTTAGTTTTTTTTGTGTTCACGCATTTGAAGTCGGTTTTATTTTTTTAAAAAGTTAATTATTATAATAGAGGTAGAAGCGACGATAGCCGAACGATGCAAGGTGTTGGACTGGCCGACTCGAGATCCGAGGAAGGCTGATGTGAAGAACATCGCCGCTCACCCACTCGTATCACAAGCATTTTTAAGTCAAATTCAACCAAGTAATCTGTAGCATGTATAAATTATATTATATATACATAGAACCATCGCACCTTCGTACGCAAACGTACGTTCAATCTTTTGATCGTATTAATATTCATAAGGGAATATTTCCAAACAACAATAATCTTTAGGGTTGGTGGCCTGAAAGACGTCATACTCGAGTCGCAGCTGAAAATAACCCCATCCCATCAAAAACAATACTTGTCAAAAAGACCAAGTCTCGCAACTCAGTTGTTCTACGGTAAAAAGTTGTGAGATCCATGTAATACCAAGTCCAGGCCAGGAAATCTTTAACGTTTTACATAAATATATTGACTTGGCCATCGCACGAAATAATTTAATTTACACGTGTTTTCATGCGATGGCCAAGTCAATATTTTATGTAAAACGTTAAAGATTTCCTGGCCTGGACTTGGTATTACATGGATCTCACAACTTTTTACCGTAGAACAACTGAGTTGCGAGACTTGGTTTTTTTGACAAGTATTGTTTTTGATGGGATCTTATTTCTTTTTGTATTTTGTAGACAGCAGTTATGTATCTAGAAAATGAAAAATTTTACTCGACTTGGCGGTTGCACTACCGTGCCCCCAAATATTTTAGTTTTTCCTTGATTCATACACCAAACACTACTTATATTCCAAATTTGAAGCTTCTAGGTCTGCTAGAAGTGCCTTAGAGTTTTGATGATCGGTGAGTCAGTCAGTGAGTCAGTCAGTGAGTCAGTGAGTGACAAAATTAAGTAACTTTGACCCGTTATAATTCTTAAACTACTGGTTCAAATTGAATGAAATTTTAAATATACCGTGTCTTTACAATTCCTGCATAGCTAATGAAAATTCAGCCTTCTAGTTTTATCCACAACGAAGTTACAGGCGGTCGAAAATGGCCTGAATTGCTTCGAGAAAAGGATGGTACGGCCGTGCCGCTTTTTTGCTCGACTTGGTGGGGGCACTGCCGTGCCCCCAGATACATTAATAAACGTCGATATGTGCGAGGGTAATATGGTGACTATTTATAAAGTTACGCAGTAGATACAATCTATACACCATGGATCTATAATTTATTACACACCGTGTTCAGCAGGATATGTACAAACTTTGATATGTTATTCAGAACATTAAACTGGTCGTTTTACATTATGGAAACATTATAGGATATTAAAAGATTATGAGACATGTAAAGGCTTCATAAGGCCAACTTATTAAAGTTTTATCAATCGGCTTTACTTTGAATGTAGACCTACATTGCCTATTATATTTTTTAGTTTTTGTTATTATACGAACTAAATGGTTACATTTAAATTACCTAAGACTCAAGTCGCTGGCTCATCAAGATAACACTGTGACAGGTTATTTGGTTATAATAGGTACTACATTACAACAAAAATAAATAAAAAATAGTCAAATGTGCTGGTAGGTACACTACGAGCATATAAATAAACTTTACCTACAGAGATAAATTTAAAGCACAACCCCGTACCTTCTATTAATGAGTAAAGTTTACAGTTTCAGGGGAGATAGCTATTTGTAAATTTCAGAAGTTTGTAAATACAAAGAGAAATCTGCGAGCTCAGACAACCAGGGAAAGTTGAAGATAAATAAGGGTTTATTATCGTCTATGGATAACGTAAAGTTCAACATTGGCTAGGAAATTGTTAACCGTTTTCTATTGAAGGTAAAGGGAGCAGAAAGGTTGTTTTGGTGCTGAAGGACAATCACAAATCCATAATATTTGTCTACTTTAATTGAACCAGCGTAGCGTTTAAACCTTAACCATTATACAAAGAATGAGTTTTCGTACTCTTTCGTTTTTGAGTGGCGACCACAAGCCGGAAGACGTAGCGTGGGCAGGCCTCCCACTAGGTGGACCGACGATCTTGTGAAGGTCGCGGGAGGCGCCTGGATGCGAGCGGCGCAGGACCGGTCTTTGTGGAAATCCTTGGGGGAGGCCTTTGCCCAGCAGTGGACGTCTTTCGACTGAAACGAACGAACGAACGAACTCTTTCGTACTCTTAGGATCGACCCTTTGTCGCAAAATAAAACGTGAAGGTCTTGAAATAGGCAATGAAAGTATATGAAAGGAATAAATAGTATAATATGAAATCAAAATCAAATTGTACTGAGTAAGCGTGGCGTCTTNAATATCATCTAGCTTTTTATCATTTTCATTTTGTGTATTATTAAAGTTTGTATACTGCAATTCAATTAACCTGTCTGTATTTTTGATTTGCCTATCGGTATTAGCAATTATTGTTTGTACTCCTTCTGCTTCATCTGATGCTTTGACAGCTCTTTGTTTTGCTTCTCTAGTTAAGTTTAGGGCGCCTTCTAGATTGGCCTCTTGCAATTTCGTTGCATTGCTGCCAAGTTCAATGGTCTTACCTTTCAAGTTTTGAATGTTGTTTCTTAGTCCATCTAATGTGACGTTACCTAAATTGATTTTTGATGTTATGTCATTGAGATTATCATTGGCATCTTTAACTTTATGTTCTACTGACGTTAGTTGATCTTGTAAGCTACTGATATTTGATAAAAGGTCTTTAACTGTTGTTTGCCCCATTTTAGCGCTTTGAAGCATGTTTTCTACTTCCGCTAACTTCTTAGTCATTTCATCAAAATCTCTAGTGTAAGCACCTGTAGCACCTACGACTTTTATTTTGCTGGCATTTCCGATAGCATAATCAGTTTGGATACGTAAATCATTAATAAGGCGATCCCAGTTATCGAAACATTCTCCACAGGCGTAGCAATCGGGAGCTTCTCCAAGGTAACCTCGAGCACATAAGTCACAATTGTATCCGCCAATACCAGGCTTACATATACATGATCCATTTTCTCTCATACATTGTTGTGATATAGATCCACGTAAGTCACATTCACATTCATGACATTCCAAATTCAGGTCACCCCAGTGATTTTCCTGACACTGATCGCATTGTCTTCCTCCATGACCAGGTTTACAATCACATTTTCCAATATAGGGATTACATTGAGGTGATAAAGATCCTATAGGATCACATTCACAAGGGTCACACCCTGTTCCCACTGCTATTCGCCAGTGATTATCTGTGCATTGATCACAATTTACACCTTTAACATTGTTGAAACATGGACATTGACCTGTGATACCATCACAATTTCCTCTGGTAAAGTTTGTTCCAAGAACAGAGCAGTTACACTTATAACAAGCTTTTTCGACTGCATTACCGTAATATCCTTCTTGACAAACTTCACAATGGTCACCTGCTGTATTATGTAAGCATTGTAAACATTTACCAGTATAAGGATCACAGTTACCAGGTTTTGTAATATCTCGAGCACATAAGTCACAATTGTATCCGCCAATACCAGGCTTACATATACATGATCCATTTTCTCTCATACATTGTTGTGATATAGATCCACGTAAGTCACATTCACATTCATGACATTCCAAATTCAGGTCACCCCAGTGATTTTCCTGACACTGATCGCATTGTCTTCCTCCATGACCAGGTTTACAATCACATTTTCCAATATAGGGATTACATTGAGGTGATAAAGATCCTATAGGATCACATTCACAAGGGTCACACCCTGTTCCCACTGCTATTCGCCAGTGATTATCTGTGCATTGATCACAATTTACACCTTTAACATTGTTGAAACATGGACATTGACCTGTGATACCATCACAATTTCCTCTGGTAAAGTTTGTTCCAAGAACAGAGCAGTTACACTTATAACAAGCTTTTTCGACTGCATTACCGTAATATCCTTCTTGACAAACTTCGCAATGGTCACCTGCTGTATTATGTAAGCATTGTAAACATTTACCAGTATAAGGATCACAGTTACCAGGTTTTGTAATATCGGTATTATCATTACACTCGCATTTTTCACAGGTTCCTTTAATAGGGTCTCCAAAGTAGTTATCAGCGCACACATCACAAAGAAGACCGGCATATCCTTCTTTACAATCACACACCACATCTTTCGTTTCGGAGTCTAATTCACATCGATCAGCGTGACTGCTCTTGTTAGGATCACCTTTAACACCTGGACAAGGACAAGGACGGCAAGGTATATCTACACCAAGTCGAGGATCACCGTAATATCCATCTATGCATCGCTCACATCTGTGGCCTTCGGTGAAGTCTCTACATTCTTTACATGCACCAGTTCTATCGTCACATTCCATTGCATGACCATTACAGTCGCATTGTTGACAATTCGGGAAGTTATAATAACCAGGCTGACATAGGTCACATGCGCATCCGTATGTATTGGCTCTACATTTGCATTGACCACTTGTAGCATCGCAAAAATTATCAAGTGAACCTATGCTGTTGCAGTCGCAGCGCTTGCAGCCGAATTTACTAAAACCATATGTGCCTGGCGCACAGCGGTCGCATCTGGGTCCGACGATATTTTTCACACATTGACAGTATCCTGTGTAGGAGTTACACTGATGACTTTTTGATCCTGAAGGATCACACTGGCATGATTCAGTGCCATTGCGGATGTAAAATCCAATACTAGCATGATATTTTTTGCAAATTTCTGGCACTGTGTCTCTATTAAGGCTGTAGTACCTAATATGAATTTCCACAATCAATAGTTTGACCGATAGGTCAAACTCCTCTTTCAAATCACTTCTATTTGCGAAGAAGGGTATGTCATCAAAAGACGGAATAAGAACAATGGAGTCAATTAGCGATGATGCTCTTGCATTTGATGTTCGGCCATCTTGTCTACCTAAATATATCCTTATTTCTGTATCTTTATCCTTTTCTAAGCACACTGGCGGCGTAACCAAAACACTACGTTGATTAGCAGGCAAACTTGTTGATACTGTAACATCTTCGGGACCCACATTTGCACAAGGTGAATCATAGTCTATTGGTAACGGTCGTTTTACTAATATACACTCGGCATCAAATAAATCGCACCTTCCGCGACAAGCACTTATCAAACGTCCACTTCCCACCAACATTGGTACCATTTGAAAGCCTAGTTCTAAACTTCATTTCATTAAAGGAAAGGTTTTTACCCCAAAAATGTGTCTTTACAAGGATCCAGAGTCACGGTTTTAAACTGTATTATAAGATGCGTAAGATGAAATTCCGCTTCCATATCAAGTTGAATGGTAACATTTTCTTTTCCATTTTCCGATTGCCACCACGATTTGTTTCTCGTTCCGGGTAGAAACTTGTAAATTATGTTTTGAATTCGATGATTCAAGTGGGGTTTGTGTATGGTGCTGTTGGTAGAGTCGCACCAAAAGCATTTTTTCCGGTCCTCCAAGTGGGATACGATGCAGTAGCGTTCACGGCCGTGCACACCGCACGTGGACGAGGCGGAGAGGCGGGCCTCGCGGCCTATGAGCAGGTTGCCGGTGGCGGGGTAGCAGGAGCTGAGCTCGCAGGCGCGGTCCAGCAAGCGCGGGTCGGCGCGGAGGCGGTCGCGCTCGCGGTTGTACACGGCGTCGCCAGCGGCGATAAGCGTCGACACGATAAACAAAGCGCGCAGAGCCATGGCGCGCTACGTACGGGCTCTTCGCGCGCCTCTCACTGCACTGGGCACGAAGCCGTCTCAATCGCGCACTCTCGCGCTGGCTCCCGCCCCTCGTCCCTGGCCCCCGTGCCCTACATAGGCAGGTCCGAACTCAGACTCGATTTAAATTACTCAGCGCCCAACCACTACTTATAATATTCACATGATGTCATGTAAGTTGATGAGAAACAACTTTCAACATTGTTTTTAATACAAATAAGATTTTATTGTTTTATAAATAAACTCACCCGAAGTAAATTTAAATAGTACTTAAGTACTGTAGTTGTATTATTCCTTAATTGAGCTTTGAACAACATTTTGAATGTAGATAGTCTATTCCGATATTAAGTAGGTACTTAGGTATATGATTAAGTATTCTCTCATAATTATATTATTCTAGGGTCGTGTGCTTTAATTCCAGGTGTATTTAAAAAGGCAAATTTTAGAAATAAAACGTTACACATATTATAACAGTATACATAAATTTAAGGTATTCTTTTCAATTATATTTTACTTTGGAATTATTTTTAAGTGGTGATTTAATATTCTCATAATATCTATTTGTAAGGAAAAAAACTACACATACACATTATTATTTTATTCAAAATATTTCATTAACAAAACAAACTGATTCTTTCTTGGGGGCTATTAAGGCAACGGGATAACAAAGGTAAAACTACGATTTTTGATTTGACTTACGATTACGCGGCTAGTGCGGCCCTGTGCGAGGCGACGACCGCTCCCGCCCGCATGCCTCTGACCGTTCTCCGAAACGGGCGCTTACCAACAAAAATAACAACGCATTTCGGGATGCGCTTTTTGTTTTGGCCATTAATATGGCAACAGGACCCTTCCTAGTCTCGGCTTAGCTTTTGGGACCGACGCGGCGAGCGCATATGGTGGGTTTCTTTGACATATTTCGAGACGATGTAAACAATATGCGCAAGTCGTGTCTACGTTTTCGCAATGAAGGTTTTATTGTATAGCATTAACGTAGTAAGAAAGTTACGCCTAACTCATAAGTTATTATTATGTTATCTTATTAATTTAAACTTTATTGGGTCAGTCAGGAGAAAGAGAAAGTTTTTATATGGATGGTTTTGGTAACATAGAGGAGTTTACAATATTACAATTTGGATAATACAATACATGAATTTGCATTAAACTAAGCACAAAAATGAGGTCAAGAAAGTTGACAAAGTTTATTACTCCAGAAAGTAGGACTACCTTCTCGCGTAGGTACCTACAATAAGAGCGATATGATTTCGCTTAATCAATCTTAAGGTAGTAATTAATTAACCTTAACTGGCTCAATATTTTTATACACAACACATCAAGTTTTTTAAGGTAGGTGTGGTAGGTATGTACCTATATGTTTTTTTATGCATAACAAGGCAGGTAAGTATTTGACCACAATCGCACCTGTTGTTTAAGTGGGATGCAGTCTAGGATGGTACATCATCATCATCATCATTTCAGCCACAGGACGTCCACTGCTGAATATAGGCCTCCCCCAATGACTTCCACATCGCACGGTTGGTAGCTGCCTGCATCCAGCGCCTTCCCGCTATGGATAGTACATAGATGGTACATATCTGCCCTGTAAGTGCCTATTCACTGTCGTATATTAGATCTCGTATAAGTATATTAGAATTCGCTACTAATTAAATTCAATTTACGGATTATGTTTGAAGTGTACAAATGTAATATGTATAAGTAAATGGTATTGTAGTTTAATTATGTGATAAAAATATTTAAAAAATGGAATTAAAGCGTCACGGGTCTAAGTATAAACGTTAGATACGGTCATGCGGCGGGCGATACCGCGCTTTCCGCCCTGCACATCCGTCGGCGATAAAGCATTCGCGATCTCCGCCATTGAGCCAGTTCGTCACTCATCACGACCACCCAGTTGTCAACAACGAATTAGCATAAACTAAACTTCGTATCTCAAGTATGAATCTAAACTCAATCGATCGTAGAGTCGCAAAAATTATTAATTTTGAACCAACTTTTCATTCAAAATACGGGCCTCAATCATCTCTGGGACACTATCTATGCGGATCTAACCAGAGTAAATACAAAGTTTTTTCTATGATCTAACGGATCACGAACAAAGGACAATTTTTAAAAGTCAAACAAGATTTGTAGAGAAATAATAAATATTTAATAATTGAATTATCTTTGATTCATTAGGAAAACAACGACGAATTAAAACCACCAAAATTAGCATTATTATCATTGTCAAACTACAATCAGTAGGCTAAAAATAAATTACCAGAACGAAGAGTTCCATTTATAAGTCTACCTATCTCAAAATGAAAACCAAAACATGATCTGAATGGTTTGAAATATGTTGGCGTTATTATAGCAGTGCTTAACAATAATCAAACTCACAAAAGGTTGAGGGCTTTATTTTACAGAACAGTTTAGTCTGTTTCGAACAAAGGCACAAAGAGGTTTTGAGCTGTTGTTTAATGAAGTGAAATAGGTTTTGTTAGGGTGAGCCGACAGCCGATTCACTTCACTGGCTTCCAAGCTGAAGGCTTACTTATTGCCATAAGCCACAAACAAATCGGTAGTGGGTGTATGGTAATGAAGTTTACCTATTAGATTTTATTGGGACTTTCTGGTTTCATTCAAAATCAATTTTACTGATAGAGGTTGTAAATATAGTTCATAGCTTTTGCCCGCGGCTTCACCCGCGTGAAATTTAGTTTGTCACATATCGTCATAGATTATAACCTATATGTTATTCTGGGTTATAAACAATAATACTGTAAAGTTTCATCAAAATCCGTTCAGTAGTTTTTGCGTGAAAGAGTAACAAACATCCATCCAGACATCCGAACTTTCGCATTTATAATATTAGTAGGATTACATAGCTAACTTATTAACTTATTACTTATTGTCGCTAAGCAAATATAGGATCATCATTTATTTTTACGTTGAAATATTTTGCAGAAAGAAATCAGGTTGCCATTTGGTAACATTTTCGGTTGTTAGCTTCTGGAATATTTAAATGGTAGGGTGAGAAATGTCAGACAAACATAAAAAGGTTTGTTTTGTTCTAGATCAGCTATTACGAGTATATCCGTAGATTGTATACCTACAATACCTTAAGCCCACGGATTGTTTCATAAATAAAAGTGTTAATCACTCAGGTACTTCTTTATTGATTATTACTTTATTAAAACTTTACTCAACATGTTCAAGTACACGTAGTCATTTGTCTAACGTATCTGACGTCATTAACTGACCAGTTAAAATAAAACAAGCGGCCTCTTTAACTAACTACGATAGATAACATGTAACAATTTCGACAGTTCACCGATAACCCCTTATCAGAGTCAAGTTGACACCGACTCAACATGAATGTTCCCATAACGGATATGAGGAGGACTATGAGACCTACGAGGGCCGGCTGATAATTTCGCGGCCTAAGGTACTTAATGAAATAAAATAAATGGTTTCTATTTTTTATTTTGTAATATAATCTCCCTCAAAAAAATACATTTCTTAAATCTCGCATACAATGCCTTTTACCCACCCAAAAAATTTTTTTTCAAAATGACGACCAACCGCAGCTTTAATTTCGTTGTCATCTGCATATCTCCGGCCCCGTAAGTCCTTTTTCAAATCGAAAAACAGGAAAATATCGCTAGGTAATAGGTCTTGGCTATATGGTGGGTGGTCAATCTCTGAGAACCCGGTGTCTTTCAGGGCTTGGCCTCGCAACACGTGCGGCGTGAACGGGCGCGTTGTCTTGCGGAAAGAGCAATCCGCGTGTCAGTTTCCCCCGTCATTTCTGTACAATAGCCTCGCGAACATAAAGAAATATTCTTCAGCTATCTGCCACGATTTAATTCTTTGGTCAGCCGGAACGATTTTTTCGACTTTTGAACGTTTCCTTCACTCAGTATCGTGACAGGGCGGGGGTCGTTTTCACAGGTCTCTCGTCCGTGTTGAAATAGTCGGGCCCATTTTTTAACCATAGTATATGAAGGTCCAGAATCCTGAAGAACCAATGACATCTCTTCAAAAATGTCTTTCGGTCTATTTTCCTTCTTTACGAGGAATTATGTCCGCGGCGCGCGGTGTCGAAATTCCGCAAATCTCCAGATTCGGCGGACATGGTGATGTCATTTGTTCGATAGAAATTGAACTATCAGTGCAAACTTAATTAGTGATTGCTTTTTATAATACTACTGAGTGTCGCAACTAGTGATATGAGTAACAAGCTAATTACTCATCGCTAAGTACCTTAGGCCGCGAAATTTTCAGCCGCCCCTCGTATCATGAGAATTATCAAGTGTTTGTTCTTGAAAGGTTCTCAATCGAAATTAACATCTGAGTAGGTATTGGTAAATCATAGATACTCATTTACAGGGTGGCTATATGCATGCAAGAATGGAACTATCATGACAAACTTAATAATAAAATAAGGAACAACAACTTTCAGATAGACCCACTATCTACTAACCGGTTGTGTGCCTAAGCATTACCAAGAATGCAGAATTTACAAAAATCTTAGTAACTCGTGCGTCACCACCTCTGTGAATGAACGCTTTGGTATCGATAAGGGTTCATTCACAAAAGGCGGTTAAGGTGTCAAAGTTCAGACACGATAAACACTTGACTCGGATACCGATCTGTTCATCACGCTGTTGCTGAGTATCGCAGTAATTTGTTTTAGTAGGTACTAAATAGGTATTTGAAAAGTGATATCAAAAGTGTTTTTGTAAACTAATTGTCATGATATTAGACAGTGGGAAGTAAATTACGTAACTAATTTGATAGAGAGTAGGTAGTAAGTAATACAGAAATAGGTACATGGCATACTAAAATAGTAAGTATGTAGTTCCACAAGGAAGCTGGGAAGGGTGGAGGCGAACGTGAACGATCTAAAACGGTACTGACATAAAACGCGCTTTACAAAATGTTTTTATTTACTACAAGTTATAGCATTACAGTGATTAGTGTTCTCCTTTTTAAGTAATTAACAATTAAACTTGTATTAGGAG